TTATAAAATAAAATGCCAATGTCCTTCACAAGAAAAATTATTGTTATATTAACCAAACCGTTCTGGACTGTTACAAGACAAATTTATCACCAAAAGAAATTTATCGTCAATCCAAAATGTGACCATTTCCCGTCCAGTTATATTGTTGTCTCTACCTCTAAATCAATCGGTTCCCAATTTTCTTCGGCTACGGGCACCCGTAATGTTACGTAAAATTATAGTTGGTAAAAAAAAAAGTCTTATCTCTCGGAACCTCTTGCGTCTTTTTGACGGAACCCTTATATTTCAAGGAACACAATGTGGGAACCGCTGCTTTAAATAATACAAGTTACTTTTTTTTTCCTGATTTCAAGTAAAATTTATTGCCAAAGTGAATTTATCATCAATCGAAATTTCAACCACCTTCCGGCGTAAACAGACATAAATCAAAAGAGAGGGAAAAAATAAACGAAAATTTAAATAACAAAATTTTTATAAGCGGCATAAAAAGGAAAAATATAATTATATTTTTATTTGACATAAAACAAAAAAAGTAAGGTGCGGCACTTAGGTTCAGTGCCCCCCCCCAAGCACTTGGGCGCATTCTTGGACAAATTCAAATTCCCCCCCCAAAACTATTCGTTTTATTTAGTGTAAAAATTCCCCCCCAAGCTTTAAGTGGGCGCATCGTGCGCCCATCTTCCCCCCTGATGGGGGCCCCTGCTTAAAGTCCTGGATACTTCGATAAAGTAGAGCCACTCTTTTCCTTGCGACCACTGTGCCGCTTTCGATTTTAATTGGCTGCCTCTGATCACGTGGGTAAACTGCCGACATTTTGTTGACTAGCTTGAACGGCGAAGTATGTAAAGAACGAAGGAAAGTATGACTGCATTGAATTGGCAGAGATAAATGGTCTTCAAACGAAACTAAGTACGATTAAATTTTATTGTATAAAAAAATGCTAAACAAAATAGTTGTCCCAATATATTTTAAATTGCTCACCGTTTTTTTTTTTTTTTGCTTTTGTGGAATTTTGCCTTTTTCATTTTAAAGAAATGTCCCTAGAAATGCTTATTCGTGAACGCAACGACCTATACACGGCGTTATTAGAGAGGAATGACTGCTAGTAAAACAACACGATCATCAGTTGCCCTGGAGATTTCTTCACTGTAGCGTGGTAACGTTTCGTCTTTATTATGGCTTATTAAATTTAAAAAAGAAAAATGCTTGATATTCTTATTTATGCAAGTGAATACAAAATGGAATTGCTTTTTTTTAGCGAAGGAACATCTCCAAAATACATGAGAAAAATATTTATCTTATCTTTATTATTAGGGTTAAAACCTAATGCCTTCGAAACCACTATTAAATTTAATGATCTAATATGAAAGGTCTATTTAAACTTTATATTTCTTACTTTTTTGAATCATATTACTTCAAGCATTAAGATATGTAAAAAGTATATCGAAACATATAATGTTATATCATTTAATTTTGCAAAAAAAGTTTTTTGACAACAATTTGTATCAAAAAATTGAAAGTTTCAATAAAAAATCATTCTTTATAAACTAAAAAACATTAAATAAAGAATACTTACGATAAAAAAAAAGATTCTAAAATTTCCTCATATTGAAATAAAAAAATTTCGTATTATTTTTATTTTTTTAGTCTTTAAATTCTTAATCAGGAGCCGAAAATCATTCTGTAGAGAACTATCATCAAATTAGAAAAAGTTATTTACTAGTAAATTTTGAATTATAGAAATCATAACACTTACCTGCTTAAAAATCCGGAGAATTCTAAAATGAAATGTTCTTCGTTTAACAATTTTATTTTTAATAATATATTCACAGATTATCCCTTCATTACTTTATGATAACATACCACACAATATTTTATAATTGTAAGATCACGATATGAATTTCAATATGCAACTTAAAAATCTCATGTTTTATATTAAATTCACATTAAATTCTTAGTCATAAATATTTAATTTGCCATACATTATTTTATAATAATTAAAATTCCTCTGCGAAGTTGTTTCCCCCTTGTCGAGATGTAGAGGCTTGTGAGCACCAATGGTTTATAGAGCTATGTCGGCTATAGCATTTGCTATTGGTAGGGTCACCCTTGCCGAATTGGTCAGTAATAAGGTGCCAGACGAAGAGAAGCATACTTAGTAAGTGTTGCTGTAAGCTCATATTTTCCGTCATATTAACTGCAAGCACATATTAGCCATTATATGAACTTCAATATCTGATCAGAAACACCAATAAATAAAATAGACTAATGTGAATATAAAAATACCTGCTTACGATTTGCTAAATTTTTTGAACTGAAATCTTTTTTTTTTACACGTCTATACTTGAATTATGTTTCCTGCTGATCTACGAAATAATGGCTATTAATATTATTTATTTTAAATTAATTATGTTTTTCTTTCTATGATTCAGAATATTAACCTTGACTGCTGAAACTGGTCTGGTTTCTTAGGACAAGCGCCTTATCTGGGCGTCAGCGGGACGTCAACGTCCCGCTGACGCCAGCAAAATACTGGTTTGTTAGCTCAAGGCCTGGTTTCTTAGAACTAGCGCCTTACTTGGGCGTCAGCGGAAAGTTGACGTAGAGCTGACGCCAAAGAAATACTTTTTTGTTAGCTCAGCGTGAGCAGTCGGTCCAACGCAGACATTATCTCTCATTGCGCATGTGTTAATAACGTAAACAAATATTTATTTTGAATTTGTATTGATTTTGTTATTGTCGACCAGTGTTTTAGAGAACAAATAATGACTTTGTCCAAGAAAAAACACATTATAGCTGAGCTAAATGAAGAGTGCTATGTTT